GATTGAAAACTACATATTGGAATATGATTTTAGAAAAATGAGAATCATTGATTTGAGAACAAAAGTATGCAAGGAGAATAGAAAATTGAGAATGTTTATATTGAACATAACAGATTTAGATTTCCAAAGCCAATTAGAAAGTCAATCTCCAAAAGGAAAAAAAGTATTTAATATTAGAACTTCGCATAATTATTATCTAGAGAGTAAACGAGTTTAATCTATATCTTTGTTGTGTTAGTTTTTTTTAGTTATCTGCCAACTATAAATTGATGTATCGACATACAAAGTATGGAGGAAAATGGTCCATAATAAAGTTCCAAACGAAAGTAACTAGCTTCTTTATTTTGGTATAGTCTTATAACTATTTTATATATTACATGGTTGTCAATATTTTTTTGATAGATATGAAATAGTTGTCGAACGAATTAATTATTGTTTTTGCCTTTTGGTTAAGCTTTTTAACGATATAATTTGTTGTGTAATATAGTCTCAATCATATTATTATTATTTTGAATTCAAGGTGAGGCATCTAAAAAGCAAAAACAATGTGTATCGAAGACAAAGAAATGTTCAACAAGTTCTTTAAATGCTTCTATAAATATAAATGAGATATTTAATTAGTGTTTTTGCCTTTTGGTTAAGTTTTTTGACGATATAATTTGTTGCGTAATATAGTCTCAATCATATTGTTATTATTTTGAAATCTATGTGAGACATCTAAACAGCAGAAACGTGTATCGAAGACAAAGAAAGGTTCAACAAGTTCTTTAAATGCTTATGTAAATGTAAATGAGATATGTGTGAAAAATAGAATGGCGAGAATGTCTAAATTGAAAAGGAAGAGAGGTAAGAAATATCATATCAATGGTTATCTAAGTTTTCTTGATTATCATAAATTAAATTGGCTACTAAATGTATGTTTTTCAAGTGTTTTTCCATGTGTAGATCTTAATTCTGACATTTTAGTCACTCATGCAAAACAATACAATCGTGAGTTTTGTATTTGACAACATACATCTAAACATTAAGTTTGTTATATTTAAAAACATAATGTTATTTCGTTGCATCGTGAAAATAAAGTTGTAGAACTTTGGTGAACCATTTTTAAATTGCAAGTGTTGTTGAATATTGTGATGATCTTTTTTTTATTATTTTCAATTCCAGGTCACACATTGAAAAAAGAAAAGAAATCTTTATCAAAGACAAATAGAGGTTCAAAATCTTGCTCAACAGAAAGAGGTAACAAATATCATATTGTTAGTCAGATATGTTTTAATCTTAACTCAAATATTAAAGTTACTTGGATAAAAGAATATCATTGTGAGTTTCCAAATTAACAGTACACATCTAAGCACTAACTTTATTACTTTCTAAAAGTAACACATTATTTCTTTGCACAGTGGAAAAAGAGCCCTGGAACTTTGGCGAACCATCCTACAATTGCATTCATTGTGGATCAGTTATGTGGTATGAAGAGTGAACTGTTAAGAACAAAAACCCAACCATTCCTTTCTTTTCATTATGTTGTATGGATGGCAAAGTTCAGTTACTTTTATTTACTTAACTGCCTAAAACATTAAAAGGTTTATTGGATGTAGTCAATGGTAATAAGGGGATTAGTTTCAAAGGCAAGATAAGAATATACAATTCATTGTTCTCATTTACATTAATGGGAGGGCATGTTGACCATGATATTAACCAAGGGGGTGGCCCATACGTTTTCAAACTTTGCGGGCAAAATTACCACCGAATAGGATCGTTGCTTCCACCTGAAGGAAAGAAACCTTAGTTTGCGTAGCTTTATATTTATGACATAGAGTATGAAACTAGTCACGGGTTAAATTCTATACGAGGTAATACAGTTGATGGTACCCTTGATAAGGAATTGATGCAGGAATTGCAATTGATGTTTGATACGAACAATGAATTGGTTAAAAGTTTTCGCTTTATCAGGAATCATATGTATAGGAATGATATTACAAATATGCATTTATGGTTAAGAACGAAAAGGGAAAAAGATGGAAGACAATACAATTTTCCAATTGCATCTGAAATTGTAGGTTTAATTGTTGGTGATATTGGAATTTCAAAAACTAGAAAGGATGTAATCGTTCATCATTCAAAAATGGGTCTTCAAAGGATTCCTGACTTGTATCCAAGCTTTATGGCATTAAGTTATCCAATATTAATCCCATATGGAGAAGATGGATATAGGATTGACAATAACCATAAGGAGTTTCCAGACAAAAAGCCTTCAAAGAGAAACAGGCTAAGCATGAGAGAATATTATGCATTTCGATTATGGTATAGATTATATGAATGACATACTCTGATGAGATCTGGTAGATTATTACAGCGACGCATATATGGTTGTTGAAGAGGAAAGATTTCGTTGGATTAGAAACAATCAGCAAAAAATAAGGAGTGATTTGTACAGTGGATTGATGGATGCCATTTCAAAAGATGATGTTAATGCACAACATCTAGGGAAATCTATGTTGCTCCTTTCATCTCACACTGGCAGTCCCCGATACGGTGCTCAGAATTACCAAGATGCAATGACAATTTACAGATGTTTTGGATATCCAGATATTTTTCTAACGTTCATTTGTAATCCCAAGTGGCCAAAAATACAGTATCTATAGAATTCTATTGGACAATGTGATCAAAAAGGTAGAGTAGCTATAGTTTGCAGAGTTTTTGAGATCAAATTGCTTGAGCTGATGCGAGAGATAAAAACAAATAAATATTTTGGTGCAACCGTGGCAAGTAAGTAATCTAATGAACAATATTTCTACTTTCTTTAAAAGTTTTGGTTCATTAATAATTTATAATATGAAATTATACTATACCAACTGTTGCTGAACACGTTATAATTTTTTTGTCAGTTATCTACACTATTGAGTTTCAAAGGAGAGGCCTCCCATATGCTCATATATTGGTTTTCTTAAACCCGAATATAAGAATCCTCCGCCATCCAAAATAGATGAAATAGTTTCTACTGAAATGCCGAATAAGACAACTGATCCTATTGCCTTTGCAGCTGTCGAGAACCACATGATCCACAGTTCATGTGGTGATGTTAACAAGAATTCACCATGTATGGAGAAAGGCAAATGTAAAAAACATTTTCCAAAGAAATTTGTCAATCAAACATCTGTGGATGATGACAGATACCCAATGTATAGAAGACGGAATAATGGAGCATTTGTTGAGAAAAAGGGTATCAAACTAGATAACCGTTTTATTGTTCCTTATAATATGAATCTTTTGGTTAAGTTTGATGCCCACAGGCACATGATTATTGAAATATGTAATCAACATAGATCAATCAAGTATCTATTCAAGTATGTCAACAAATGGTTGGACAGATTGACAGTTTCTATGAAAATTGAAACCAACGGTCAACCGAATACTCAATGCAAGATTTTACAAGAGAACGATGAAATAAAAGCTTATCTCGATTGCAGGTATCTACAAAATGCATCAAATATATTGTTTTTATGTTGTCTGTTGATATTTGTTATAAATATGATATTAATTAATTCAATAAAAAACATTATAGATATATCTCTTCTATGGAAGCTCGCTGGAGGATATTTCGGTTTGACATGTATTACAGAGAACCAGCTGTTGAAAGATTGTCATTCCACTTAGAGATGGAACAAACAATTATTTTCGATCCAAATAAGTGTTTGGTTAAACTTTTGGAAAGCAAAGTTTTTACACAAATGAAATTAACTAAATGGATGAAGTGTAATCAACGATACCATTCCATAAGATCATTGACTTATTTTGATTTTCCAAGCAAATGGGTTTGGAACAATATAGAAAGATAATGGTCTCCATAACAAAAAGCAAGGTGAATTGGGAGGGTGTATTTTGCATTCCTAGGTAGTGGTGAGAAATATTATTTGCGAATGTTTCTCAACTTAGTAAGAGGAGCGACATCATTTGAAGATATTCAGACTGTCAATGGAGAAATATTCACTACATTCAAAGATGCGTGTTATGCATTAGGGTTGCTGGATGATGATAAAGAATGGAATGATTACTTAGATGAAGCATCAACATGGACTACCGGAAGGCAATTGAGATAGCTATTTGTAACTATTCTTGTATATAATGAAGTGGTAAGTCCAAGAGACTTGTTGAGAGCAAATGGAGAACGACTATCTAAAGACATTCCCTACATTCTTAAACAGAAAATGCAGATAACATAATTGAAATGTACTGAGGAACAGATTTAGAATCATGCGTTGTTCGAGATTGAAGACCTGATTAAAAAGAGAGGAAAATCCTTGGCTGATTTCTCTAGAATGCCAATTCCAAATTGTTATGTTTTTGAAAATTCACAAAATAGATTAATTGTTGAGGAATTAAAATATGACATGAACAACATCAAAACACTACACAATGATTTATACAAAGGTCTCAACAATGGCCAGAGACGAGTATTTGATTCAATCCTTGATTCCGTTAACAATCAAAGAGGAACACCATTCTTTGTTTGCGGGCATAGTGGAACAGGCAAAACCTTCCTATGGTAAAAAATCATGGCACCATTAAGGTCCAATGGTAAAATTGTTTTGGCTGTGGCTACATCAGGAATTGCTGCATTACTGCTACTCGGTGGAAGAACGACATATTCATGTTTTTGAATACCTTTAGATATCACTGAGGAAAGTACATGTGATATAAAAAAGGGGACATAATTGGCAAAACTCCTTCAGCAAACAACTTTGATAATTTGGGATGAAGCACCCATGGCAAATAGGTATTGCTTTGAAGCTCTTGACAGAACTCTGAAAGATATTTTGTTTGAAAAAGATCAATCAAATGCAGATAGAATATTTGGAGGCCTTACTGTTGCCTTGGGTGGTGATTTCAGACAGATTCTACCAGTTATACCAAAAGGGAAAAAACATGACATAATATAGGCCTGTTTATCATCATCTTCCCTTTGGAAACATGTAACAATATTGAGACTTACAGAGAACATGACGTCGAAGACAAACTTGGTTAACCCAACAAAATTGGATGATTTGAATGCTTTTGACAAATCGTTACTTGATATTGGAGAAGGAAGGGACGTTGCAGAAGATGAAAGTTACATTCAAATTCCTGAAGATTTGAAAGTCGCTCAACATACCAGTCATGAAGAAACAATTATAAATGCTGTTTTTCCAGATTTAACTACTCAGATAAATAATGTTGACTATATCAGAAAGAGAGCAATATTGACACCCAAAAATGAGACGGTACATAGATTGAATGACTATATCACTCAGAGCCTGCCATCAGAAAAAAAGACATATCTTAGCTTAGACAGCAATTGCAAAGCAGCAAGTATCTCAAATGAAGATGACATTCTCTATCCGACTGGATTTCTTAATTCTCTTATGTGCTTCGGAATGCCCAAACATGAATTGCATCTGAAAATTGACATTCCCATTATGTTACTGCGTAGTTTAAATCGATCTGATGGTCTTTGCAATTGAATCTAATTAACAATAACCCATTTAGGAAAGTGGTCCATACAAGTAGTGATTATTACTAGGTCAAATATTGGTGATGTCGTTACGATTCCCATAATAATAATGTTGAAAGCAGATATGAAGTGGCCTTTCAGGTTGAAGAAGAGACAATTACCTGCAGCTGTTAGCTTTTGTATGACAATAAACAAAAGCTAGAGTCAATCACTCAATATGCTAGGATTGTATATGAAACATCCGGTCTTTACACATGGTCAATTGTACGTTGCACTATCAAGAGTAACTTCAAGACAAGGTATCAAGATTTTGCTGGCCCTAGAACATGATGAACTGGCAGACACATTGACAAATATTGTTTTCAAAGAAGTGTTTAACTGAAGGGATTGATATGTTGTATATAATATAACTCAGTGTTTATAATAGAAGGGATTGATACATTTTATATAACATGTAATCTCTCACTAGGCAAGTATTCATTGAGTATCCTATAGAGAGAATCCAAAGAATTGTTAGCTTAAAAAGGGTGTTCGTCTAAATTTTTTATCCTTAATCCAGTTATAAAATACTATTACAGAATGACTATTTCTCACATATATAAAAATAAAAAGAATTATTTTCTAATGAACCGGAAAGCATGAAGATGTTCTCCAAATATTATTACTACCAAAAATACATACATAAATCCATATTAATTCCTTCACTGAGACAATGTGTGCAACCCTCTTACCAGCTTGACGTCTCCCGACCGCTACAATCTAATACTTGCAAAAAATAAAGAAAGCAACGGGGTGAGCTATAAATGCTCAGTAAGTAAATCAAATCTAACTATGCTCTTACTCTGCTATCCCCATTTTCGCTATACTGCTTCTAAATTTCTGCTTGCTTTCTCTCTTTATTCTCAAGTGTACTACTTAGCAGTCTTCTATGTTTCTCAAATCCTTCTAAATCTTTCTAGTGTTGTGCTATTCTTTCTCATTTTATTTATCTTCTCTGCTAGATTATATCTTTCTGTTTCTTTCTCTAGTCAACAAATCGCTAAGTTTCCTTGCTATTTGTCATGTTTCTAATTTCTATTCTTTTCTAGCATATATCTAATTTATGTTCCTTTCTCGTATATCTCTAATTTCTTTTCTATTCTCGTAGGCTTCTATTTTCTTTTCTTCTCTATTTTCTTTTTTTTGGCTAGTTAGACATGCAACAATAAAATAAACTCTTGAATCTATGCATAAATGCATAAGATGCAATGCACATAAAATGTTTGATGCATATGCAAATGGTCATGTCTGTATTCTTCCTGAAAATTCTTTTCTAATTCTTTTTGAAATTCTTTTCTTTTCTTTCTGAAATTCTTTCTGTTTTCTATTTCTTATTCTATTTTTCTTTCTTTTTTGCTTTCTGTATTCTGTTCTAGTTTGCCAATCGGACTAGGCTGAGGCATAGATTTGGAACCCTGGCCGTGTGAGCGTATTCTAAAATTCTTTCTGGGTATAGTCCTCATCTACATGCACTTCTAACGGATTGTATAATTCTGTTTTCTATTGTGAGGCTGCTCACTGATGGCGGCGTGCATGTGGGACACTTCTGCATCTCTGTTGCCACTAACTAATGCAACGAATGCTCACAGGTTCCCCATCACAACAATCCTCTGAAAACATGCTATGTATATCTGAAAAATAACTAGCTAGACATTTTTCAATAATTTTAAAATTTTTGAAATACATGCTATGCTATGTCATGTATTTATATGCTATCTATGCATGATCCCAAAATATGAGTTTGACTCTGACAAGTATTCTATTAATTCTAAGGCTTTTATTTCTATATTTTTTTGGAAAGCCCAAAGTTCTATTCTAATAACGCGCTTAGCTTAAACATTTTCTATTTTATTATTTCTGAATTCTATGCGTCGTGTGTACGTACACGATTCTATAATTTCTACATGATTATGTAATTCTTCAATTCTATCATGCTATGAAAAATATACAGGTACACAATTACATTATCTCTCACAAATTCTACTCTTCTATAATTCTATTAGTGAGATATTAAAACGGCACAATTCAACCAGGGAATGAATTCTACATTTTGTGCAATCTAATTTCTTCTATGAAAATCTATGCCACAACTTACGTATTAAGTCTACTAACATGCTCAATTATGCTACTAGATTTCTCAAATTTATATATCACGTAACCATGTCATTAAGCAACTCTCTAATATTTTTTCTAATGTTACAAACATGCCTTGTACAACTTTCTAAATACAAATCTTAATGCCATAAATTTGCATTCTGTTACATGACCATCAACTTCAATTGTTATACATGCCCTTCTTTCTTCTTTTCTTTTGACTACATTCTATACATTAATCTATGTTGCCATATTAATCATTGTAAATTCAATCTAACATATGTCACAACATATATACTTTGGCTGAATTCTAATTTCTTTCTAACATTCTTAACTAACCTTGTGGCCAATACAAAATATTCTCGAGATCTTCTAGCACAATTCTACAGCTTGTAATATGTAATAAGGCATGAAAACTATACTCATACCAATTAATTTCTAAAATAGTCATGTATTTAATACATAAACCAAACTTCTATTTCTTTGATGTTTCTTTTGATATCTATACTTGGGAAAACTTTTCTATTCTTTATACAATAAAATCACTTATTACATATTGTATGTAACTAATCTCAAAACAAGAAACAACAATATACTCATTGGCCAAGCCATTAGTTGGATGATCTTTCTAATTTTAAGCATACAAGCTTGACAACTTATTGTGGCATATTGTAATATTATAATATAATCACCCATCTTTTACTATCATCAATACTACACTATTGCAACAATTTAATATGCAATTCTTGCCATCGCTTTTCTAAAGTCATAGGTTTTAAAACTCATAATTCAATGACTAAATACAATATGCCATTTAAACTAATGCTAAAAGTTCAAACAACTTGAACCATGCACTAAAGGCCATTCATTTCATTAAACTAACATAACCAAGTGTTATTCTAAATTTTGGCATAACAAAATGCACTCTTAAACACTTAAACTTATACTTGGTCAAGTCTAATACAACCTTTTAACATCCATTCTTTCCTTTCTCAAACAATGTCTTTAACAATATTTGATAAATTCATGCATGAATTTCTTTTTGAAATTTCACCAAAAACTTTACATGCACATACAAGTACATGGCTGGCCACACCTCCACTTCTCTCCAAATACGTTAAAGTTGGAAGAAAATTAAACAAAAACTTAGCCCTTATTCTGGCCGAATTCAACACTTCCAAATTCAAACATCAATTCTTCAAGATTTCATCCAAGGTTCAACCAAAACATCACATCTATATAACTACTCATGTTGGCTGAACTTCTACACATTATTCTCTATCAAACAAGCATTTAAATGGCCAACAATTCTCACCATACATCATATACAGCCATACAACCATACAATAATCAACAATTACAATTATGGCTCAAAACAAGGCTTAAGTTTGATTCACTTACCTTTTTCTTGCAAGAATCCTTTTCTTTGCTTCTTTTGTTTACTTTTTCCATTTATTCATGCTAAAACACATAAATTCATGAGAACTCATACTTATAAAACACAAATCACAAACTTTTGCTAAAATTCTTATCTTAGAAAGCCATACAATGAACATATATTCACTTAGGCATGAATTCTCATATAATTCTTTTGGAAAACTTTGAAGAAATTGAGGAGAAATGGAGGAAGAAGGTGGCTGGCGCTTTTGGTGTGCAAATGGTTGGGGTTTTGTCAATTGAAGTCTTATAATTAAATATATATGTGTGTGTGTGTGTGTACCCATTTTGCCCTTGCACTTTTATAATAATTTCAATTATGCCATACATGCATTTACCGATATACCCTCACTTTCAATGGATTTAACACATGTTGTTGGTCATTTTCACTTGCCATCATAAACTCTAATTATGAGTGAAAAGGCCATTTTACCCTTATTCTTTAATTTCTTCCTATTACTTTACAAACACGTATTTATCTTGGCATCATATCACGTGTTTTTCCCATAATCTTTCTACCACTCTATTCTCATGGCTAGCACACTTAATACATTATATTTAGCATACTCACTTTTCACTTGAACACGTGATTCTATATGAAATGACTATTTTACCCCTATTGAAACTTTTATGGAATTCCTCTATAGAACTAGTTAAATATGTTCACTATGACTATAAAATAATCCCTACCATATTTCTGAATGTGGGTATTACATAATATAACACATTTTTTGTGAGAGATTAATGTGAAAGATTAAAGATATTTATATGAATATGAAAAGGTCACATTAAATGTTTAAATATATACATAAACATAAGTTCCTCAATACAAAGATGTTGATATGTTTTACATTATCATTGTCGAATACGATGAATGCTACATTATATGTGTTATAAATACATTTTTTTTTTTTTTTTTGCATAAGCAAAATTAGCATCAATTAAATACATCCACATCCATAATAATAACCCAACTACAAATTGTTGCGTGGCAAACATTGTCAAGATACTTAACATTAATAGTACAATTAAATGGTTTAAATATTTACAGAAGTAGCATTACATAGACTGGAGATGTGTTTTTTACATACGCAAAACTTAGCATCAATTAAACACATATACATCTGTAATAATAACCCAACTACAAACTCTTGTGGGGCAAATATTGTCAAGATACTTAACATTTATAGTACAATTAAATGGTTTAAATATTTATAGAAGTGGCATTAAGTAGACTGGAGAAAGGTACAATAGCATTGCAGTCAATATAATCTCTATTAGATGACATCTTCTCATTCTTCAACACAACCGTCTCTAAAAAACTGGAGTCTTCATTTGGAAATCTTACCTTAAATTCTTTCACAGAAGCTTCTTTGGTGGCCAAAAACATATCTGACACTGAATCAAAAGCTTCTTCTCTATCTTTCTCAGCTTGTGCAA